AGCAGGTAAAGGGGGAGGGGGGGAACCTCATTCCAAGCGTATTCTTTCCAAGGCGTTTTTAAGGCTGCCAGGAAAAGGCAGAACGAGCCAGCATGGCTGCCTTTATCTTCGTAAGGACAGCGGCTTCAAAAATGTAAATACGGAAAAGCTGGCTCGCAGAGATTACGCTGCTGGACCTCAGTGATGCAACGGGAGGAACTCACCCGAGCCGCGCTGTTTTTGGGCAAAGCCGTACGGTAAAAATCAGGAGCTGAAGACGGTAAAAACGCTACACGCCGAAGGCACGTCTTCCGTTACCGGCGTTGGTGGTTTGTTGTGCTCAAACGCAGCCCTTGTGAGGCGGAGCTGGTCGTCTCGGCGCTTGGGGGAAGGCAGCTTGTCGTTACGGGGAAAGGCAGCGCAGGCAGGTCACGGGGGGAAGGTCTGGGCTGCGGGAAGTTTGTCTGGGACATTTTGTTTGTGTAGCAGTCCCCAAACTGCTGGGAAAGGGTGAGCTGGGAACTGACGCGTCCTGGTGTGTTAATTATTGTGTCAATTAACCCCACGCTCGTGTCCTCTACCTCTGTGCGCCTCCAGACAGGTCGCCTGGGCAGCGTGGGGCGCTCCAGCGGTTCTTAAATCTCCCTTCAGCCTCCTTCATGTTACTATTTTTGGTGATTTCTTTTATTTCGGCCATAATGAGGCCACTGTCCAGTCACACGTGGTTTTACACATCTCTGGAAAAAAGCCAAAGCGTTCAGACAGCCCCTGCTCGTTGATAGTTTTGGTAAAGTCACTGTTAAACCCCGCGGCAAAACTCTCTTTCTGTCCCAAAGGTTGTTTTGTGCAACGGGGAGCCGGAGTTTGGCTGCATCATGGCAACAGTCGTCACCGAAAAACTCAGCCGCCTCTTCGTTAACGCGCGGCAGGTCCCTCAGCTGCTGGCTCCCCTCTCTCCCTCCACCGTCAGCAGTTCGGAGGTGCCGAAGGTCTTCTGGAAGCCCTACATCCACACCGGCTACCGGCCGG